GCAGTGATCCAGATGTGCTAAAATACCTGATATTGTAACGTGTGTGTGAGTGTGTGTAATATTCAACATCTGCTCAGCATCTGCTGTGGGGGTCAAAGAGGAGACGTCCTGTTTTACTGTCCGCATCAATTTACTTCTTTAAAAGGTGATTCATGTTTAAACATGAAAGCAGAGCTGTAAATCTCCTGATCAATTCTGGAAAACATGTTCAAAACACTCTAGAAGTACGTCTGAAATGATGTTTCATTCTTTCATTCACTCTCCTTCGGCTTAGTCTTTTATTAATCTGGGGTCACCACAGTGGAATGAACCACCAACTACTCCAGCATACAGTATGGTTTACACTGCGCATGCCTTTCCAGCTGTAACCCAGTGCTGGGAAACACCCATACACCCACATTCTCTCCCACACACTACAGTAAGTTTAGTTCATCAATTCCCCTATAGTGCATGTGTTTGGACTGTGGGGGAAACCAGAGGAAACCCATGCCAACAAGGGGAGACCATGCAAACTCCACACAGAAATGCCAACTGACCCAGCTGGGACTCGAACCAGCGACCTTCTTGCTGTGATGTGACCACTGAGCCACATTGTTGCCCTGTTTTATCATCATTTCATATGTATAAATAAAAGCACACACACATTCTTGCTCGTACTTATTAAAATATAGATAGAAGTAAGTGATTAAATCAATAAAATGATTTGAGCATTTTCTTTTACACATTTTTTTTGAAGCATGCCATGTTCACGTTATAGATTTAAGATGACCATTAATGTAAACTTAGGGTGGCACGGTGGCTAGCACGATCGCCACACAGCAAGAAGGTTGCTGGTTCTAGTCCGGGCTGGGTCAGTTGGCGTTTCTGTGTGGAGTTTGCATGTTCTCCCTGTGTTGGTGTGGGTTTCATCCGGGTGCTCCCCCACAGTCCAAACACATGCGCTATAGGGGAATTGATGAACTAAATTGGTCGTAGTGTATGGGTGTTTCCCATTCATGGGTTGCAACTGGAAGGGCATCCACTGTGTAAAACATATGCTGGATTAGTTGGCGGTTCATTCTGCTGTTGTGACCCCAGATTAATAAAGGGACTAAGCCAAAGGAAATAAATGAGTGTCAATATATAAGAAAAAAATAGCAAATATGAATATAGTTTTTCCACTGCTTGATTTTATCTGCAGATTTATTTTTATTTGCGAAATTAGTTTTTATTTCTCAACTTTTCTCTTTTAATTTTTTTAATCGATTTGCAATATGTTTTTAAAAATAATTTGCTCAATGCCTAATTTTTTATTTGCTAAACTTTATTTTATGTTAATAATAATAATAATAATAATTCCATATGCTTATAGCCGACATATTTCTGGGCACTCAAAGCACTTTACACATTGGGGGGAATCTCCTCATCTACCACCAGTGTGCAGCATCCACCTGGATGACGTGACAGCAGCCATATTGCTCCAGACCATACACCAGCTGATTAGTGGAGAGGAGACAGAGTGATGAGGCCAGTTATGATATGGGGATGGTTAGGAGGCCATGATATACAGAGGCCAGTTGGCAGATTTGGCCAGGATGCCTGGGTTAAACCCCTACTCTTTTCTAAAGGACATCCTGGCATTTTAAACAACCACAGAGTGTCAGGACCTCGGTTTAACTCAGAGGTGTCCAAACTCGGTCCTGGAGGGCCGGTGTCCTGTAGAATTTAGCTCCAACTTGCCACAACACAGCTGCAAGGATGTTTCTAGAAAGCCTAATAAGAGCTTGATTAGCTACCCCGGGTGTGTCTGATTGGGGTTGGAACTAAACTTTGCAGGACACCGGCCCTCCAGGACCGAGTTTGGACATGCCTGAAAGAAGGCTCTCACTGAGCAGTATAAAGTAGGGGCGTTAGGACCCACACAGACCGCAGGTTGAGCGCCCCCTGCTGACCGCACTAACACCACTTTCAGCAGCAACCTAGCTTTCCCATGTAGTCAGCCATCCAGGTACTGACCCTGCTTAGCTTCAGTGGGCGACCATGTGAGAGTTGCAGAGAGTCAGCATGTATATACACGTTGCACCTATATACAGCCCTGCCTATCAGCCATTTCCTTAAATAATATCTTTCAGCAGGAGAAAACTAACACCGGATCATTACCGCCAACCTGATTTCACCAAGTAGGACATACAGGATCCTGGATTAACATCCGTGTTGATCCTGGAACAACATTCCATTTAAGTTTAGGCTTACGGTTAGGTTTATGCACCTCTACATGATTGTTAGCCTCTGATTTTGAGAATAATGTACAGTGATGGTTGGGTTTAGGGGTAGGGAATAGATGTGGATTACATTTTCCATCCAAAAATGATGTTCCAGGATCAGCATAGATGTTAATCCAGGATCACATCGTGCTTGGCAAAACCATGACGTGCCCATCTTTATATATGCTATATCACTACATACAGTGTTGTAGTTGCAGGAGTTGTGTGCACACATGCTGTATCTGCTCTTCTGAGGTGTGTGTGTGTGTGTGTGTCTGTGTGCGCAGCTGAATGAGCGAGGCTACTGTACGGGTCATGAGCCAGACTCTATGGAGTTCAGTTCTCTGGGCGGCTGGGTGGCCACACGGGCATCAGGCATGAAGAAGAACATCTACGGCAACATAGAGGACCTGGTACAACTACACACACAAAGAGACACTCACACACATCAACAAACACACACATATGCACACATCAACACATACACACAAAAACGCACACACCTACACACAAGGACACAGACGCATACAAACAGACATACATAGAAATACTCGCACGCAAACGCACATTAACACACTGACAAATATACACAGACACACACACACACACACACACACACACACCAGCACAGAAACATAATCACAACAATAAACAATCAAACTGCGAACATGAAACACTCAA